CCCACCCCGGCCCTCCGCAGGTCTGCGGGTCCAAGTGTCGCGGCGGCGCACTCGCGGCGAGAATCGGGAGGCGGAGGAGACGGCAAGGATAGGCCCAGGTGGGGTCGAGGGACGGCGGTGGCGGGCAGGGGGGGGCAACGAGTGGAGAGCAACCTCCGAGACCCCGGATCCTCCCCCGCGCCGCGTCCTCCATTTTGGTGCCTGCAGAGGCTTGGGCATGGATCGGCAGGGAAAATGGTGGGTTTGGGATGAGGGAGGGGACGGGAACCAGAGGGAAGGGGGAGAAATGAGACTGGGGGCCCCCTAGAGGGCGTACGGAGCCTCTCAGGTGGGAAACATGCAATTTTAAAAAGCCTTTGCAATCCAAGCCTCTGAATCTCAGAAGGTGCGTAGTAGGGCCTCTGTCCTCGGTGCTGATCAGTCCACGAGTGGGGGAAAAGTTCTTTCTCGTGTCTCTTGTCTCCTAGGAGTGATGGCGTCGAAAGAGGAACAGGCGGTAAAAAGTCTCAACGTGGAAAATGCCAACCAGGAAAATGAAAAAAAGGATGAAAAGAAGCAAGATGCTAATAAAGGAGAGCCCTTGGCCCTCCCTTTGGCAACTGGTGAATACTGTGTGCCTAGAGGAAATCGTAGGCGGTTCCGTGTCAGGCAGCCAGTCCTGCAGTATAGATGGGATGTGATTCAGAGGCTTGGAGAGCCACAGGCAAGGATGGGAGAAGAGAATATGGAAAGGATTGGGGAGGAGATGAGGCAACTCATGCAAAAGCTGAGGGAAAAGCAATTGAGTCACAGTCTGCGGGCAGTTAGCACTGACCCCCCTCACCATGACCATCATGATGAGTTTTGCCTTATGCCTTGAATGTTCATGTTTTCCCTGAAGTTAATAGGGCAACACACCTGCTTCCTAAACTTACATGTTTGTGATGTACCTTCATTGTAAACCTTTCGATGTTACTTGTTTCTTATGGGTCTCCTATTACCAGCTTCTAATTGAATGTTGTGTTTTGACCCAATACGTAAGTTTCTGTCAGCAGGGGAGTTTTACCTATTGCATGGAAAGATGCTCATTACATGTTATGAAGTAAATAAAGCAATATAAGAAAGCATTCTCTAGTTTTTACTTCAAATCTTAATACATTTTATAAATGAGCACACAGTCTAAGAATACATAAAGTAAAAAAGTGTTCATCTCCTTATAGCAATTATTTTTCTCATTTAAAAAAAAACATTACTTAAAGAGCTAGACCACCTGATAAAAACAATGTGAGCACTTATTAACACTTGTGTTAGAATCTCAGTTATGGCTAACCTCTCGATCTTTTATTTAGGAGTATAAACCTAATCATGAGACGTAGCTCTTTAAAGATCGTATTTATCAAGATGAAGGTGATAATCATCTCCCAGGACTGCTATGTGTACTTGAGGCAATAAGTTTATGAGCTTTTTCCAAGCTCTTGTTCCCATTAGCATATGCATGACCCAACCCCTTAGATACTCCCTTCAGCTATTGGGGAATTTCCCAAATCCATGTCTATCCTATACTCAGAAATATCCACTGGGCTAAGAGGTGTAGGTACTTATATTTCTCTGTTTCTTTGCCCTATTGCCTTCTCCCTTGAGTATCCTCAAGGTGAGAAAGTCCCACTGATTTCTCTGAAACTTCCAGTGAATTGAGTCCTCAATCTGTCCTATAAAAATTTGGAGAAATTCCTTCTCCTTGTTGAGCTTCATGGAAATAACCTTGACCATCTGGTTCTTTCCTTAGGTGTAGTTCTCCCCCAAGAAACCTACCTAGTTCATTAGACTATTCAAGATGTGTGAGGCAACACAGCTCACTTTCAATCTGAGTTGGCCCTTCTCACACCAGCCCCCTGAAACCTATGAATATGAAGAATTATACTGAGTTGAATGCCAGGAGATGGTGTCAGTGAATTTAGTGGATACCCATATGTGGAGATTTTTATGAGAAGTCCATTGGAGGACTATTGTGTTTAAGTGTTACAGTTGAACTTGGGAAGTAAAGTTGTTTTGGAGTGTACTAAATAGGTATAAAGACAGTCTTTTGTGGAAATAAACCTAGAAGTTAGGGTTCTAGAACAGAGTTAGCAAAACACAGCCCATAAACCAAATCTGGTCTATTGCTTAGTTTTTTGGTCAATAAGCTAAGAAGAAATTTACATTTTTTAATGGTTGAAAAAAATTGACTTATGACATAAAACTATGAAATTCAAAATTTGGTATACATAAATAAGGTTTTATTAGAATACAGTCATACTTATTAATTTACATAGTATCTGGCTGGTTTTGTACTACGATGGCAGAGTTGAGTAGTTGCCAAAGAAACAGTATGGCTCGCTTGCAAAACTTATATGTTTATTATCGCCTTAACGAAAAGTTTGCCAAACTCTTCTCTAGGATATAACATCACAGTAGCACTTAGGAAACCAAAAGGAAACGTGTGTAGGCAGGTGAAAACGAAACACAGCAAACCCCAGAAATGAATTAGATTCCTAAGCAATTCCAAAGCCCGCCCTCTTCAAGATGCTTGAGACACAAGGCACATACAGCAAGACAGGAGTTTATAAAGACAAAGGCTAGAGTTGAAAGGGCAGGAAAACATGAACAGAGAAGCTTCTGCCCTACCAGACTTCTTACTCTTGATTGCCAGTGCTAAAACCTGCTTCTATTGAAACCAGAAGCATTCTGTCTTCATTGGCCTAAGGATATTTAGCAGTTCCTGAAGAGGAACTAGAAATTCACATATGAACCCACGGCATATCATAGTAGAAGATTAGACATGCATATGTTCAGAAAAATGTACACTTCCATGTATAGGCAGATCCAAATTTGCCCTGTCAACTCAGAGAAGGGTGGATTTGAGAAATAGCCCTCTGCAAACTAGCTTTTGGCCTTTACCATAACGTTTGGATCCGAAAGGACAACTGAGGGAGTAGTATGTAAGTGATCAGGCTCCACTTAAAGTACTCAGGCAACAATCAACCATTAGAAAGTGAACAAAAGGCAGTAAGAGAACAGGGCATGAGGTTCCCTAGAAGAGAACAGCCATATCTAAGGTTATGGCTGTATTTGCCTACTTCTATCATTTCTATATGTTATGTGGCAAGCCTCCTTTTCTCTCTAAGAGTGACTGCTCTTCACAAAAGGGACAAATTCTTCCCATAAGTGCCTAAAATCTAGCGAAGAGAAGGTGCTGAACTCTGGTTCTCAAAGAAAAAGGATGTTCAAAAAAGAGGTTTGAGATGTAGATATGGATTGGGCCATTGGGGTTTTAGCACTTTATGTACATCTCGTAGATCCTTGATGAATAAAAAACTGAACCAAGGTAAGTATGGATTTAGTGGTATTCAGCAAATGATAAACAGGTATATGTATTTTAATCCTTACATATTTCTAACAAAATTGAGATAATAATGTAGATAACTTTAAAAAAATTTTTTTAAGTTTATTGAGGTAACATTGTTAATACAATTATATAATTTTCAGGTATACATTATAATTTGACATCTGTATATTCTATTGTGTATTTACCAGCAGATAACTTTTGGAGAAAAATAATTATTCGTTCTTTTTTTCTGAAAAAAAAATTAAGACTATTGAAGGAAATAGATTTAAGGGCCACCTTGTGACCAAAGGAAGCAGCGCAGTTTGAACTTTCTAGTCACACAGAGCAGGGAGTATTCACAGACACTGGACTCTTCCGAGTAGGTCAAATAGCATAGGAAATGCACTTTGGTTAGAAGTGAAATAAAGCCTTCATGTTTTAACCAAGTAAAACATCAAGCCACATTTATGCTTCAAATGAAAATGGAGTAACAAGAACTGTATTTACCTCTCGAATTGAAACAAAACCTGCACAAAATATATATATAAAGAAACCAGTTTTCAGTTATTGAACATTAAATAGTGGAAGACAAAGTTCCATGAGGGAGGAGAAACAAATAATATGAGACATGTTATTGCCCCCAGATTACTGTGCATTGTAGAATTTATAATATACGTGGAAGTAAAATGTATGTAAACAATAGCACAAAGGCCAGGAGAGGGGGAATGGAAACACAATTTTAAAGTTCTTATTCCATACATTAATGTTACTCGATGGTAGATTCTGAAGTGTTAAAAATGTATGTTATAAATTTCAAAACGACCATGAAAAAAGTTGTAGCTAATAAGCCAACATAAGAGATAAAATCGAATCTTTAATATACTCAATCAAAAAAATGTTAGAGGAAGAGAACAAAGACCAGAAGGGACAAATGAAAACAAATAGCAAGAAGGTTGATTTAAATGCGAACATAATATCAATAATTACATTACCGTAAATTGTCCAAACACCTCAATTTTAAAACAGAGATTGTCAGATTTTATAGATAAGGAAGGCACAAATATATGCTGCCTATAAGAACTCTATTTTAAATTTAAAGATACAGATAATTAAAGGAGTGAAAAATGATGGACAATCTTAACACCAATCAAAACAAAGCTCGAGTGGCTATATTGATATCAGATACAATAAATTTCAGAGCAAAGAATAGTACCAGGGATATTATGGTCATAGAATGTCATTACATAGTTTTAAGTGGTGAGTTTGTCAAGAGGAAATAATCCTAAAAATTCACATATTACAGTACTTCAAAAAATATATGGAGCAAAAACTGATAGAACTGCGAGGAAAAACAGACAAGCCCACAATTATAGTCAGAGATTTCAACACTTTTTCTAAAAAATTGATTGAACAAGTAGACAGAAAATCAGCAAGTACATATAAGACTTGAACAACACCTTGAACCAATTTATTTAGTTGACAATTGTAGAACTTGCCACCAATGACAATATAATATACGTTTGTTTCACATGCACATGGAACATTTACCAAGATAGTCCATATTCAGGGCCATAAAATAAGTCTCAATGTTAACAGGATTCAAATCATAAAGTGTATGTTCTCTGACAACGGTGGAATTAAATGAGAAACTAATAACAGAAAAATCTCTGGAAAATCCCCAAATGTTAAAATTAACCCAAAGAAGAAATGAAAGGGGAAATTATAAGGTACTTTGGACTGAGTGAAAATGAAAACTCAACATATGATAATTAGTGGGATGTGGCAAAAGAAGTACTCAAGAGGAAATTTATAGCACTAAACATATATATTAGAAGAAAACCAGATAGCTTAAATACATGGAAATTTTATTTAAAATACTTCCTCCAAAGAAAACTCTAGGTTGAAATGGCTTTACTGGTAATTCCACCAAACATTAGGGATGGCATAACACCAATTCTATGCAAAATCTTCCAGAAAACTGAAGAGGGAATACTTCCCAACTCACCTTACAAGACTAGAATTTCCCAGATAACTAAGCAGACAATTATAGAGATGGAATTTAGAGATTATCAGAGTTTAGGAGGGGAGGAAAAAAAGAGCTGACTACAGCTATAAAAGGGTAGAATCAGGGATCACTGATATTTCTAGTCTGTAGTAGTGGTCATGCAAATCTACACATGTGACAAAATCGCATAATGGAACTAAATACATAAACGGATACAAGCATGACTAAGATCTTTTTTTTTTCTTTTTATTGTGTTAATATACATAACATTTTTTATCATTTAAAACAATTTAGTTTAATGGCATTAAGTATATTCACATTGTTGTGTAACCATCACCATTATCTATCACCAGACCTTTTTCATCATCCTTAAATAAAATTCTGTACCCATTAAACAATAATTCTTCGTTCTTATTTGCCCCAAGCCCCAAGTAACCACTATTCTAGGTACCTCATATACGAGAAATCATGTAATAATTGTCCTTTTGTGTCTGGCTTATTTCACTTCACATAATATATTCGAGGATCATCCACGTTGTAGCATGGGTCAGAATTTCATTAATTTTAAGGGTTAATAATATCCCTTTGTATGTCTATACCACACTTTGTTATCGATCCATCCGTCAACGGACATTTGAATTGTTTACACCTTTTGGCTATTGTGAATAATGCTGCTATGAACATCAGACACAAATATCTTAGTTTCTGCTTTCAATTCTTTTAGGTATATATCTAGAAGTAGAATTGCTGGATCATAT